GCAGTGTAATCTAATTATCTTTTAAGTGATACGCAATTTACGAAATGAAGGTTATTTTTCGGCAAAAAAAATGTTTATGACACAGAGCCGTGTTTTAGATGAGGTTTTTATATCAACATTCATAACTCTCTTCTGAAGTCTCAAGTATAGGTGGTACATTTACCATACATAATTTAATAATTTTCTCAAAGAACATTCCGCATTTCCATTTTATTTGGAAAAACATCATACTTCATCATGTCTTATTAATTAAACATGGATGTAGAAATTTAAATTTGAAATGATGGTACACCATGTTGTAGAACTGTAGACAAAACTGTCAGCTATTATAGAAAACGGATCATCGCGTAAAATCCTTTTCGGTAAGTATAGCCTCACTTGAGGCCTGAGATTTTATTTTAAAATAGTTAATAAATAAATAAATATTTCCAACACTTACACCAATTAGCCTAGCCTCAAAATAGCACTGTAAGCCTGTGTTATGGGATACTAGGGTAGCGGATAGAATACATCACGGATACATATATACATATATATAGTAATATGTATTTACAACCATGACTGAAGTACAAATGCTCGTATTCATCACACAAACATCTGCCCTCACCGGGATTCGAACCTGGGACCTCTCGAGTAGGCGACACCATGAAACCCGGCGTACAAACCACTCCGCCTCGGAGGCCGTTAATACAAAACGAAGTAACTCTCTGGCCAATGACTGGTAAAAAAAAATATTTTGTGGGTCATAAGGTTGATTTCACATTTTCCTTTTGATGTTTAACATCTTTTTTCATCTTAATCGTTTTTTTTCAAGTATCAGATATAATTTATAAAAGGAACAAGAGTTCGTCTTTTAAGATAAAAGGTCGTATGTGCGAAATAACATTTTGATATTTGTAACCTTATTCCTTTGTGAGATAGTTGTTATTAGGTTCAACTTAAACTGTTTTAAAACATTTATCTTTGTTCATTGGGTATCGAATGCAGCTGCATAAGTTTAAACATACGCGGAAAGTTTTTAGCTTTGATTTGGTATGCAACCATATCTATAGAATTGTAAATCGAAGATTTCAGTTCAATTTTTTGGAGTTTACTCTTTAAGAATCGATTTGCATATATAAGGGGCCCGGTATGAGAAAAATGTGAGGAGTAAAATCTATCGATGAATGACCTCGTCACGTTTTTGGTGCGCATCCTGTTCGAGCCAAAATGACTCTTATATCCGAGAGCTTAGGTGCAAAAGAATTAAACTGAAACTACAGTGTATTTTGTTAGACCATAGATTTCTTTATTAGTTAGGTGACGTTTTGCCTATATGTAGCTATATATATAAACATATTTACAAGCGTGATGCAACGAACTACAGCGCCATCTATTTTGATACATATGAACTAAAATTTTAAATGCAAATGGCGTATACATAATCGCCCACCAAGGACAAGCTGAGATTTGTCCTTACAAATATTTAACTTAACAACATGACTTTGTTATCGCCCACCATGACTTAAGGTAACAAAACAAATAAAAACACTAAGATGTACAATAACTTAAAATAACAAATTTTCATTTTAACAGAACATATATTACTTTTGGAGTTTACTCCTTAAGAATCGATTTGCATATATAAGGGGCCCGGTATGAGAAAAATGTGAGGAGTAAAATCTATCGATGAACCTCGTTACGTTTTTGGTGCGCATCCTATGTCGCGCAACTTTGACAAACAAAGATGACGGATTGACATTAATAAAATTTTTAAAATCTGAACTGAATTTAGATATTGTTTCTGATAGAGCAATGTGGACAACGAGGTATGGTACAACCATTGATGCGGTATTTTCAAGATTCGTGAACCACGTATCTACGAACGTCCATGTGCCTTATTTTAGTTACCATAAATCACTTGTCACTGTAATTAATAATGCAGACGATGGTGTCGATTTCGGCATGATTCTCTAAACCTAAACTTAAATTTATCAACAGTATATCCTTGTCATTCTCTATACAGAATGAAAAGGAGAGACTGATGTTAAATTTAGCGCCAGAATCGACACCAATGTTGATTTAATTAATATTTAAAAAAAATGATAATAGTCTGATAATAATAATTACAAAATTTATCAACATTCCTAATGATATATTTATGCACATCTGAAATTGACTATTGTAAAAAGTTTAATGTAAAATATTTCGTCGATTAGTTATAATAAATGTATATGAAATGAATAAATATATATTTATGTATGTATGTTATTTTCATTAATTTATTAATTTACCCTTTCATACAGTATCAATCTTTTTTAAGTTAAATAAACTCTTTTTGCGTCTGGTTAGACTATCGAACTTAAGGAGTACACTCCAGTCGTGCGTCGGAGCTGACACACACAATTTTTTATTTAAATACCGCCTAAGTAGTACTTGTTTGCAGTCCTGTTTCGATATTTGATGAGAAGTGTATTTTATGGATTTTTTAAACAATCTTTTGGTCATTTTCTTTTATATGATAAAAATTTCTTAATAGAAAATTGAGTATCTGATTCCGTTCATAAATAATTCCATTAAACTTCATAATATCTGAAATATTTACTATTGAAATTGTTTTAAAAGTCGTAAAATGTTGTGTTTCCTAGTGAGTACAGAAGAGGTAAATTTGTCGGGAATGCGTGGCTGACAAGAGAAAAATGATTGTTGAAAGTTGTTTAGAAACTTGGAGGTTCTCTCCCTTGTTAAGTTAACGATGATTAACTGCGGAATAGTTCTTCCGAAAGGGAGATTTGCTTTTTATTTTATATCTCTAAGTAGTATGATGGCATCATCATCATCATCATCAGCCTATTAATGTCCCCACTTCTGGGGCACAGGCCTTCCCTATGGATGGAATAGGGAGATTGGGCCATGACCCACCACGTGGGCCCAGTGCGGATTGGTGGGTGCTAACGACTGCAAAATGCAGCCGGGACCAACGGCTTAACGTACCTTCCGAAGCACGGAGGAGCTCGAGATGGTAAATTTTGGTCACCCATCCAATGACCGACCACTGCGAAAGTTGCTTAACTTCAACGATCGCAGCCGAACGCGCTAGCCACCTGCGCCATCGAGCTCCTCATGATGGCATCAGTTAATCCCAATATAGTCTGAAAAATATTTTGCTGCAAATTTAGGTTTTAAAGTTTGTCTTTAAACTCTAAAAAAAAGTTGATAAATAATTAGTAGCTAATAGATACATGATATTGTGTCTAAATGGGTCTCTAAATTGTCTAACTTGTTTTCTTTTTCTGATAACAATGAAATATTTCGCAATAAGAAGATCCAGATACACATTAAAATAATGGCGTGTAACTCGAGTGTTCAATAAAATTATGTATTAATAAAACATTCCTTGGGATTTTCTTTTTCTTACTGATGGTTACTTTGATGAAATAATACATGATTTTAATTCAATGTTCGTGTCAAGTGTCGGGGAGGCACATCTAGAAAATAATATTGATATTTAAAAATTCAAAAGTTAATGTGTCTAGTAAGATTAATTATAACTATGCGGCGTTTTAATCTTAATTCGGAGTACAAATCTTGTTTTTTAAGTGAGCAGTAAATTTTTGATCATATAAGTCTTTTCTTACTATTCATCATATTAATAATCAGCTTATTAATGTCCCCATTGCTGGGGCACATGCCTTCTCTATCCACGGACTAGGGAGATCGGACCGTGAACCACCACGTCCGTCCGCCCAGTGCGGTTGGTGGGTGCTGACGAGGGCAGATGAAGCCGGGACCAACATCTTAACGTGCCTTCCGAAGCACGAAGGAGTTAGAGATGATAAGTTTTTGGTCACCTATCCAATTGCGAAAGTTGCTTAAACTTTACGATCGCAAGCTTAACGTGTTAATCATCGCATCATCGAACTATTTATACACTGGAATGTATTATAACTATGGTGCGGCTGTAGTGTAAAAATAGGCAAATTGTATATTGTATAATTATAATATGTAGCAATTCCAAAAATACAATTGGTACCTTACGTCAGGTTAACAATTGTATTTTTTTGAGTATCAATTACTATTTTCTTGATGATGTAAAAACACATTTAGGTACCTGTATAATTTTTTATTAATAACAAGACGTGATTTTTTTTAAGTTATCGTGTACCTACTGAACTTTCATTACTCTAATACGTTTAGCTTTATCAGTAATCCCTTAATATTATAAATAAATAAATAAAATAAATATTTCCAACACTCACACCAATTAGCCTAGCCCCAAAGAAAGCACTGTAAGGCTTTTGTTATGGGATGCTAGGGATAGAGTACTTATACTGTACATATATCGAGCCCTTACCGCCAAATTATCGTAAGCGACACTCGCCAAATTATCGTAAGCGACACTTTTGTGGAAATGCGTTTTTTGTGGAAACTAATATTTTAAACCGTAACGGACCCATCTCTGTTGATATTTCCCTCTATTCTTCCCTCTATTATATTATAACGGTGTCCTTTTGGAGGGAAATATCAACAGAGATGGGTCCGTTACGGTTTAAAATATTAGTTTCCACAAAAAACGCATTTCGACAAAAGTGTCGCTTACGATAATTTGGCGAATGTCGCTTACGATAATTTGGCGGTAAGGGCTCGATATAAGTATATTTTTATATAGAAATACATATTAAACATCCATGACTGGAGTATAAATGCTCGTATTCATCACACAAACATCTGCCCCCACCAGGATTCGAACCTGGGACCACTCGAGTCGGCGACACCATGAAACCCGGCGTACAAACCACTCGACCACGAAGATCGTCATAAAACTAAACTCTTTGTTAAACTTTTTGTTGCTGATATCCTTGTAATACCTTAACATGATGACCTTTTTGTTGCAAACCTCCTCGTAATCCCTTAACATGGTAACCTTTTTGTTGCAGACCTCCTCGTAATCCCTTAACATGATAACCTTTTTGTTGCAGACCTCCTCGTAATCCCTTAACATGATAACCTTTTTGTTGCAGACCTCCTCATAGAGATGCTGGGCGTTTTGGCCAGCTACAGTGTCACAGTAAAGGAGCTCAAACAGCTCTTCAACGCCATGAAGGCGGTCAATGGGAAATGGGTATGTGATACAACTTTCTAACGAGGCTGGTGTTTGTGTCAAACCATGCTTTCGTATCAATAAAGTGCACAACATGTGGATGAAAAATAATTATTTAACTTAACACCACGCAAAGTATATAAAATGTTCTTTAAAAAATATGGTTTGTTAACACACGCTCTGCCTTGCAATCTGAGCAAGCATTCGCCCTGTTTTCCTTTCTACTCGATATGCTTCACGTCACAAAGGACAAACTTAAACATTCACTCTCCACGACTTATAGTCTCCTGGTACAAAAAGTTTCAATATCACCGGGATAGAATTTCCCATTGGCTAAGTAAGTACAAAGACTGGAAATAGATTGATGGAAAGTGTTTATTTTTATCGTGGGTTTGTCCATTTTATTTTCTGTTTGATGTAAGTACGATTACAATAGTAGGTATACAGGTGTCTTACTTCCTTTTATTCATTCGTAACTTTAACTAAAAGGGTAAATAGAAAAAGGGACAGCAAAAGGGTACGTAGCGCTCCCAATTCCCAGATAAACATAAAAGTAGAGAGTAACTAAGTCGTTACTACGTAATTATACATTGCCGCACACCGGCAACTGTATAAATTTATAAAGCATTCGCGGAGGAGCTAATTGTACGGTTAGTTGCGCCGTCCATTTTGTCATTTGGCCCCATTTTGTCGCTCTGCTGTGCTCACATCTCCTTGCTTTTATGTGGCTCTGGTAGTTAGAGAGCCGATGCGAGGGCGGCGAAGGAATTTTGGGACCGCCTTGACCCGCCGTTTTACCGACATCAGAATTTAGAGAATTTTGTTCATATACCATGTTGATACGGAAAGCTTCGTTTAGCACAATGTTTTGTGTATTCAGATTAGAGGCTCATCCTATCTTACAAAATTTTGAAAGATGAAAGTTTTATAGCTCTGTTTCACGTTTATCAGAATGTCTCAATTTAAAGTCTTCGACAAGTTTTTTTTACTTGATAATTTTCGGTTATCTTTTTACCTAATGATTCCGAAATACTATTTTCCATTAAAATTAATTTTGTTTTACATTTTAAGATATAACCATTCCGAGTCATGAAAATTGAAAAATTAAACCGTATAGAACACACTATTATTTTATGTTGATATTTCTCGTTGTTTGCATAAATGAGTTGTTTTATTTCCAGCCGCGCCATTCTGCCAAGCTGCTAAATGTACTCCGCCAGATGCCACACAGAAACGGACCCGACGTGTTCTTCAGTTTTCCCGGTAGAAAGGGTTCTGTGAGTACCATTAACATATTAACACAGATATAGTTTATTTTTATTATTTCCGGTAAGTAAGTATCAAATTATTTTATTTTACACCATATTTTGGCAACATTTCTCTGGATTTTGTAGTGAGACTTTATTAAATAAGATTTCTGAAAAAATGCTTAAAAATAATATAAAGAAGAAAAGGCACTAAATTGTTTGTGTTCCTAAGTTTTCAGTAAGTATGGGTATAGGATAAGATTTTTACAAATATCTAGGCGTTTCCCTACCTTCTCGATCTTAAAATTAATTACATAATGATATGTGTACCTTTTTATGTAATGCTTGTATTTTATGATATGGAATAAGTTGAATCCAATAGATGCAATACCTTATTAAGCGCAGCTTGTGTGTTCCTCAACATGATATTGTATGGATATGAAATGGAACTTAAAATAAACCCCTGTTTCAAGGAATGGCCGAACATAACAAACAATATATTTGTTCCAAATTAAACAAAGTTTTTTACCTTGTGTTATTACTTAGAAATTCAGTTAATTCTAAGTTCTGGCAGTCACATAAATATAGGTATACGCGCTCCCTGATGACCATGATGACCATTTTGCAAAAAGTGGTTCTGGAGGCGCCGGGTATCGATCCCGGTACCTCTCGCATGCTAAGCGAGCGCTCTACCATCTGAGCTACGCCCCCTGCGATAGAGCATCCGAATAACTCGAACATTGTAAAACAGATCCATGTCAATATTTAAGCTACAGCCTTATAGGGGACAATTTGCGTTATAGTAAACATTTGGAGTACCCTTTCACTTGACATTTGTATGTCGCTCCATTATAAATACAAGTTTTGGTGACCGGTGGGCCCAATAGTAGCAATTCTACCGCCTCCTTCGAAGGTCTAATTTTAGCCTAAATATGGGCTATCCTCTCCTTCCCTATGGGTGGGCTTTTGGTAACCATAAAAAATGGATCTTTCTTATTCCTTTGCATGGTCTTGCTTTGATAAAAAATGGCATGTATATAAATGGCATGTGTTCGTCTTAATTTTGCAAAAATAACAATCAATTAAATCTAAACGGTTATCCTTTTTTAGGGTTCCGTACCCAAAGGTTCAAATCGGAACCCGATTACTAAGACTCCACTGTCTATCTGTCATCAGGTTGTATTTTATGAACCGTGATAGCTGGACAATTGAAAATTTCATAGACGCTGTATTTCTTTTCAAAATACTAAAAACAGAATAAAATAAATGTTTAAGGGTTTACCCTTACAACAAACGTGTATTTTTTTTATTGCTGTTTTTTGCTCTATATTAATAACGGCAACAGGTAGATGCTTGAAATATTCACAGAATATTGAGTTGCATAATTTTAAAAATAATTAATTAAATTAAAATAAACATTTAAGAGGTGTTCCCATACAACAGACGTGATTTTTTGCCATTCTTTGCTCGATATTATAATATAATGTATAATGTAGTGTAGATAATGGTATGCTTCGGAACCCTTCGTGCGCGAGTCTGACTCGCACTTGGACTTTTGAGTCTTTGGGTTTTTATTGATTTTTAATGATTGATACTAGTTTTCTGAGACATAAAATAAATCAAATCAATCGATATTTTAATCTGTTAAGAATTACCTGAAATTGAGATGTGTGAAGTAAATAAAAATATAATGTGTCGTCGCGAATGTCGTCCTTTTAAGAGCGGAAAGTGACTTAACCGCAACATTTGGGAAAACTGCAAATCCTATCGAAAAATAATCAATGTAAAAAATATAAGTAATTGAAAGATCTACAACTTTGGAATTTACACTTTTTTCACATAACCTAAAAAATTCTGTGAAAAATCAAAATAACCGACTTTTTATTAAAAACTTACTAAAAAGTGTTAATGCAGATATAAATACAGAATAAAAAATTTAGATCTTCTGGCTATACACATATTCTTGACTTTTTACGATTTTCAAAAACCCTAGTCTAAATAGATCACCCGAATACGGGCTAACGACCAAGTGTAATCGCGCCATGAGTTTTTGTCCCAGGGTTTTTGCTATAGGCAGATGTCAAGAATGTCCCTTAACAACTCTCAATTGTTTATGACACCCTGGTACTCGTGAGAATGCATTTCAACCCTTTTGTTTGGCGGTGAGCACCGGTTGCCGTTCCATGCCTCGGATCAACAAATTACCGGGTAACTTTTTAACCGTTTAACATCGTTGCCGTTCATTTATAAATTAAATATACGCTAAAACAAATCACTTCACTTTTCTTTTTTCGGGAAGATAAATTAGCGTTTTCCTTAAAAATTATTCCAAAATAGTTTAGATACACAGATTTTAATTAATGAATGAATTAAAAAAAGGTTGGAGGCGCCCCGGTACCTCTCGCATGCTAAGCGAGCGCTCTACCATCTGAGCTACGCCCCCTGTGATACTATATTACGAAACGAAGCATTCAACTTCCTATATCGAACATGTTTAAAAAGGTCAAACAACCTTCGGCGAAAAGGTTCGTTATTAAATATTTTCCCATTCTTCGATAAACAAACTTGTCAAATCTTTTGCAGAATAAATCGTTCAATATATTTTTAAACCAACCTTCTCATAACTTTTTATCCTAGTAAAAAAATAACATTGTGCGTTATTTATTTATTTGTGTTTATTTTGAAATTTTGAAGTACAAACAGACTGTCATTTAAATACCCCATTCTTCTGCAGAAAAAATAAACTGTAACTTTGTACAAGTATGTTATTATTTATTTTTAAGCATTTAACTGCTAGATGTTTAAATCTAAAGAAAGGATTTAGTATAAAGAAAAAAAAAATTTTTTTCTAGTAAAAATCTTTTCTTTAGGTTTGTACAAGTATTTTACTTTTTTATTTAAAGGTTTATTCTCATAATACAGACATGTACTTATTACATACTTGTAACAATTTCTGTGTATACTAAGTAAAAAAGCAAAAATAATAAATTGATGAACACGAACAAAGACTGTATTTTTAATTATGTGCTTAGCCTCCGTAATTTCAAGGCAGAACGACACTGAAAGAGCGTAAATTTTTCGCCAGCATGATAAAAACACAAAACCTATTCTCTGCCCAGGTTCTGTATATCTCATTTTATTTTGCCTATTGAAAGAAACGAAAAGTGTAGTAGCTACGAAGACTAATATATAACAAATACAACATTGTTATTAAGCCATCACTGACAAATTCACATTATTTAAGTACACTAGTTGTCCCGGCGAACTTCGTACGGCCAAAAAAATTGGGGTTGGTGGTAGAAGGCTGAAAATTAGGGTTATACATATTATTGATTGACGTATCATAAGAAAAACAATGAATTTTGTAAAAAAAAATAAGGGTGGACCCTTAACATTTAGGGGGATGAAAAATAGATGTTGTCTGATGCTCCTAGACCTACTGAATATGCATATAAAATTTCACGAAAATCGGTCGAGTTTCGGAGTAGTTCAATTACGCACACCGTGACACGAGAATTTTATATATTAGATTTAAACATCTAGCAGTTAAATGCTTCAAAATAAAATAAAAAAGGTTAGATATGTTCAGTAACTCGAATTACAAATCACCAATCGCAATCATACAATTTTTCATTATATTATTTATAGCGATCCCAAATCCTAAAAGTGACAACAGAACCCTAATTATTCAACCTCCGTTGTCCGTCTATTTGTTAGCGGGTTGTTGACAATATATATAACAAACTGATATTTTCATAGAATGTGCAGTTCTTATAAAAATTAAGTAAATTAGAAATTGTAGGAATGTGATTTTTCAGCGTTTCATATGTGTTAATCTTAGTGCATAGTGCATTTCAAGTATTACATTTTGTACTCATCATCATCATCAGCCTAATAATGTCCCCACTGCTGGGGCACAGGCCTTCCCTATGGATGGAATAGAGAGATTGGGCCATGACCCACCACGGGGGCCCAGTGCGGATTGGCGGGTGCTAACCTTAATTACCTACTTGAAAAACATAATCATCGTGTCCGAATCTAACTTAGTCTTGACAGTCTCTTTTATATGATTAGTCAACTTTAAAGATATACAAACCTCTAATAAATGTGGAAATACTGAGCTTTGAAAATTCATTTCATTTCTTCCGTGTGGGTACGAAGTTACTGTACCATTTCCCATTTTGTTTTCCTTGACAACGTTGTTCGAGGTCCAAAGCTATATTCCAATATAGGTATTGGACTTTGAACAACATAATAGGCATGTTGATAGAAATGTTAGCCCAATTCCTCCAAACAAGCTTTTTAATTTTTTTGAGTGTTATGTATTTTAAGAGTTCAAACTCTATCCCTCTTATTAATAAACAAGGAATTAGCTTAGACTAGTTACGCCGTGTTTTGTTCATGTCACTCAAATGCCATTTGTCGTTAAATAGACAGAGACAAACCATGGACTAACTAATCCAAGCGTAGTCTTCGTTTGGCAATTCACAACTCTTTGCCAAGCTCCTAATCCATAGATCACCCTTCCAAGCTGTATTATTAGCTTTTACAGAGCTTTGCCGAACCAAATAATTCATCTGTAACATTAATAAATTCACCGTTAATTTAGCAGACTACTCAATTAATTTAATATCATTTTTAACCTTTTACGAATAGGTTTTTAGATCTAATAGACGTAGAATAAGTCATTTCTCTGGAAAAGGTGGTAAAAAATTTTTTTTAATTACGTGGCTGTTACTTCATTCGAAAATTGCCAGTTCTCCTCCTTTCCTTAGTTATATTATCCGTCACTAAATGTTAATTATGTGTTTATCATTACATAAGGTACACTAAATACATTGGTAATAGCATTTTGGATTAATGTATTACGTAATGTCTGACTGTCAAAAATCTCCCAAGAATTCACGCTTGCTAATGGTTTATTAGTACTATTGTTTTCTCTAATTTCATTTTTCCAGTCGAAAGTGATCTTGTAATAAAATGTTCTCTCAATAAACGTAATTTAAACTAGATATAAAATAGGTAACAGGTTCAAAATGAAAAGACACGAACTCGGGTTTTCGTAGGTATAATAAAGACCTTTTTTGTGAATGCTTAGGGGTTGAAGCTAATATTTTGTCTCACTCTCTCTAAAAGGATGGTTGTTTTTTGAATCTCCATCATGTTCATCTTGCCCTGGTACTCTTGAGAATTTATTGCATTCTTAGTAAAACCATGTATTGTCACCGTAAGTCTTCGTTTTTAACAAACTTCAAAAAGGTGGAGGTTATCAATGCGGTCGGTATTTTTATTCATTTAAAAAGTACATAAAGACGATTTGGAGGAACTTGGCAAGTATCACGTAGCCTCCAACGAGGTCACGATCGCGATATATATGCAACATTATAGTACATTACTGCAGCGGCTAGCAAAAGAGGCTTTGATGGACGAACGTCTAAATGTGCTAAAATGGATTTGCCTCGGCCTACATACTAAGTCCATCAATGTCTAGTCGTGGCCAAGGCTTGTATAGTGCTTTTCCCAAATAATACGTGGAAATTAAAACTAAGTAGTTAGTGCGTAGACAGAACTTGTTGTTTGAAATAGTACATTCCCGCATTTTTATGTTATTTGTTTTTTTTTCGATATTGAAACTATATTTATCTCGCAAAAAAGAGCTATAAGGGCTATTTATCAACTCAGTTCTAGAGCATCTCTTAG